CTCCCGTGGCTAAAATTGCATCAGTTCGCCTTTTTCTATCCATGGCTGTTGTTCGCCATTGGCCTCTCTATCAGTTGGACATTAAGAATGCTTTTCTTCACGGTGACCTTGAGGATGAGGTTTATATGGAGCAACCACCTGGTTTTGTTGCTCAGGGGGAGTCTAGTGGCCTTGTATGTCGGTTGCGCTGGTCCCTCTATGGTCTAAAGCAGTCTCCTCGAGCCTGGTTTGGTAAGTTCAGCACAGATATTCAGGAGTTTGGCATGACTCGTAGTGAAGCTGATCACTCTGTATTTTATCGACATTCTGCTTCAAATCTCTGTATTTATCTGGTCGTTTATGTTGACGATATTGCTATTACCGGCAATGATCAGGATGGTATTAGTAAGTTGAAGCAACATCTCTTTCAGCACTTTCAGACTAAGGATCTGGGCAGATTAAAGTATTTTCTGGGTATTGAGGTCGCTCAGTCTAGCTCAGGTATTGTGATCTCACAACGGAAGTATGCCTTAGATATTTTTGAGGAGACAGGAATGACAGGTTGTAGACCTATTGACACTCCGATGGATCCGAATTCTAAACTTCTGCCAGGACAGGGGGAGCCTCTTAGCGATCCTGCAAGATATAGGCGGTTGGTTGGTAAATTAAATTACCTCACAGTGACTAGACCTGACATTTCATTTCCTGTGAGTGTTGTGAGTCAGTTTATGGATTCTCCCTGTGATAGTCATTGGATGCAGTTGTCCGCATTCTTCGGTATATAAAATCAGTTCCAGGCAAAGGCTTATTGTTTGAAGATCGAGGCCATGAGCAGATCGTTGGATACTCAGATGTTTATTGGGCAGGATCACCGTCTGATAGACCTTCTACGTCTGGATATTGTGTCTTAGTAGGAGGAAATTTGGTGTCTTGGAAGAGCAAGAAACAGAATGTGGTTGCTCGGTCTAGTGCAGAAGCAGAATATCGAGCAATGGCTATGGCCACATGTGAGCTAATTTGGATCAAACAGTTGCTCAAGGAGTTGAAATTTGGTGAGATTAGTTAGATGGGATTTGTGTGTGATAATCAAGCTGCTCTTCATATTGCGGCAAATCCAGTGTTCCATGAGAGAACTAAACACATCGAGATTGACTGTCACTTTGTTAGAGAAAAGATACTCTCGGGAGATATTGCTACAAAATTTGTGAAGTCGAATGATCAGCTTGCTGATATTTTCATCAAGTCCCTCACTGGTCCTCGTATTAGTTATGTATGTAACAAGCTCGGTACATATGATTTATATGCACCAGCTTGAGGGGGAGTGTTAGTTTCATTGTATAAATAGTAGTAAATAACCCTAATCCCATATGTATTAGGAGTAGGACATGTATTGTATATATATAGGGCTCATTGTATCATTGTTATAATTAGTCAATAATATATTTTTCTCCCGTGCTTTCTCATAGACAATACAAAAGCATATCTTTTTCCTCCTATACTAGCAGTTCTAGTAGGCCCAAATAAGTCCATATGAAGCAATTGCAAGGGTTTAGAAGTAGATACAATATCTTTATTTTTGAAAGAGTTTCTGGTCTGCTTACCAATTTGACATGTATCACAGATATGAGTTCTAGAAAAATTCAGCTTGGGTAGGCCAACAACCAACTCATGTTTGGACAATTTTTCTATCAAATGCATGCTAGCATGACCAAGTTTTCTATGCCATAACCATGGATCATCAGACATAGACGTTAAGCAAATATGACCATCTATTTTTTTAAAACCATCAAGGATATAAACATTTCCATATCTTTTACCTAGGAGGACTGTTTTACCTGATTCTTCTTCAATAGCACAGCCTGTTTTCTTAAAGTTTACCTCATATCCTGAGTCGCATAGTTGACTTATGCTCAGGAGATTGTAGTTAAGTCCATCGACGAGATAAACTTCAGTGATGTCAAAGTTGTTATTGAAGGGAATTGTACTAGTACCAATTATTTTACCTTTTGAGTCATCCCCAAACTTAACGCTTCCTCCATCAATTTTTGTAACTTCTTTGAACAAGTTTTTGTCACCTGTTATGTGACCGGAACACGCACTTTCTAGGTACCATTTTCCTTTGTGGCTTATTCTGTGGTGTTCCTGCAAAACATAGTGATTACTTTCTTTTAGGTACCCAAGCTCGCTTGGGTCCTAGAGGGTTAGTATTGCTAGATTCAGAGTTGTTTTTTGGTTTCCAAACCCATCCTGAAATGTTTGCTTTACGAAAGCGACAAAAAGAATATTTGTGCCCACTTTTGTTACAGTGGTGACACGTAACTTCTGACCCACCTTTAGGTCTTCCATTAGTGTTAGTACTAGTGAACTTTGTTTTGGCTGGCCATTTCCAGTTGACTTGTAAGTCGCCTGGTTTGACCTGACAGAACTGTGATTGGTGGATTTGCGCATGCCATTAAGTTGCATTTGCAATTCCTCAAACTCTTCTTGAAGTACCTCTTTTTCAATTTCATATACTTCATGTTTGAGTTTCCAGTCTTTAGCTTCTTTATTTAGTCTCTTAAGCTCATTCATCATTTTTTGAGACTCTTTCAAACTTAAATCAAGAATATCCTGCAATTCATTGCATCTTTCACAGTTATAAGATCTTACCTCACTTGTTTCACCTTGTGCCATGAAACAGTTCTCGTTGTCTTCTTTGTCTTCGTCATCTGAAGTGTCCTCATCTGTCCAGCATCCTGAGGATTTGTTCATCTCGTTTTCCAGAATCGTCATGAAGCAAAGATTTGCTATCTCTTCGTGTTCTGAACTGTCTTCATCACTCTAACTTCCAACAGATTTGTTCTTATTAAAGCCTCTAGAAATTTTTCTTTTTAGTTCTTGGCACTCAACTTGAATGTGTCCAAATCTTCCATACTCATAGCATTTTCCATCATTCTTGTCCTGTTCATTGTATTGCCTGGATCGTCTGGGCGGAATTCTTCCTTTCTTTGTATTTCTGAATCTTCTCATTAAGCCATCCATGTTTCTTGATAGTATAGCAATCTCTTCTTGTAGAGCTTCAGGATCATCTTCAATTTCATTTTCAGCTATTTCAGTTGAAGCCTTAAATGCGACTATTTTCTTTTTTCCTTCTTGACTAGTCTTCTTGAGATGCGTCTTTTCAAAGGCTATGAGTTCTCCTCGTAGTTCATCATATGATAATTTGTTTAGATCCTGAGATTCAAGTGTGACTACTTTGGTCTGCCAAGTGGTTGGCAGGCTTCTGAGAATTTTTTTGACTTGATCACCACTAGTATATGGCTTGCCAAATGCCTTTAGATCGCTAATTATTTTGCTGAACCTGGCAAACATCTCTTCAATAGATTCTCCTTCTTTCATTGAGAAGAGTTCGTAGTCATGTACCAACATGTTGATATGTGTTTCCTTTACTTTGCTGGTTCCTTCGTATGTAACCTCAAACTTGTCCCACATTTCTTTGGCTGTGTCACAGTTAGAGATTTTCTCATATTCTTCACCACTTATAGCATTGTGAAGCATATTTCTCGCTTTATTGTTAACTTGTACCACTTTCATTTGCTCTTTTGTATATGAATCTATATCTTCAGGATCAGCAAGTGGTGGAGTAGCAGCTGGTAAGGGATAGTTCCCCTTTTTGATGACTCTCCAAACTTTAACGTCATAAGCCTTGGCAAAGATCTCCATACGCACTTTCCGGTGAGAGAAATGTTGTCCATTGAAGTATGGTGGTCTAACTTGTTAAGTTCTTTCCTGGAAGAGAGCTCTTATGATAACTTGATTTGCCATGATCTTTTCTCACTAGCTGTTAAGCAAAAGTAGAATGTGAGCCTTGCTCTGATACCAATTGAAAGTACAAGAGGGGGGGGGGTGGTGAATTGTATATTTTTAAACTTAATCTCTATTAGTTGACTGGTTGTTCAATTAGTCGACCAGATGCAATAACCTAATAGTTATAATAGCAGAATATAAAACACAGAAAGTAAGTGCAGGAATTAAAGACACCGGAATTTTATACTGGTTCGGAGTCAATGTGAATCCTAGTCCAGTCCCCTTGGGTTGCAAGGGATTTCTCTTTAGTAAATGCGTCTCTTCGAGTACAATCGAAATGATGTGATAGCTCAGTTCCTATAACTCTCGTCTCTTTTGATACAATGCTTCACTAGTGTTGTTCTCTCCTTTTTTTCTCTGACTTGTTACACAACAGGTCTTATAGAACTACAATGTTTGTTTGCAGTTGAACAAAGAGAGGATTTTTGGTTCGATCAAAGTATATTTTGTCTAAGGCTTGATGCTGAGTATAAATACTTTGGTGAAGGCCGTTTGCTGATGAGACTTGACAACCCAAGAGATTTGATCCTTGGAAAGAGATTGATTCTTTCCAAGAATAAGATTGCTTGCCGTTGCTCTTCCTTGATGAGAGGAAATTGACAGCTTTCCTTCTATAGTTGTTGACGATGAGGGTTTACTTCTTGATTGTTGGTCCTTCCAAAATTAGCAGCTCAGCTAATCTTCTTACAGAATCTTCGATGCTTTTTGACTGCTTCAATCTTCCGGATTGAATGTGCTGGCCTTGATTGATGCCTTAAGTTTAGGCTTGCTTGATTCTTTCCATCGCAGCTGTCCATGATTTCGTAGTCTTTGCTGATTGATTTCTTTACTTAAGCATCCAAATTGAATTCAGTAATCTCGTAGTAGCTCCTTGATTCCTTGATCTTCTCTAATTGATTTTCTGCACAGTTATATTATTTGCATCATTAAAATTAGATCTAACAGGTGGTAGACGTGGGCGCTTCCACTGTCACACAAGAGTAACGGGTGCATGTATTTTGCACCTAACTGGCTTAAATCTTGGATCCACCTTTCTAAGTTGAAGATGCTCCCTAGTGATATTAAACTAACTTTTAACTACTAAACGCATTAACCAAAAAACAAATAAACATATAAACAAAGAAGTAGGCAATTACTTCCTAGTTCCTAATATTTTCCTTATTTTTGAGGAAGAGCTTATCAGATATATGGCTTGTTCAGAGGACTTTCTATGTAGTATTTGAAACTTCGTTCTGAATGGAAATTCTTGACCATCTATTATGGTATTAAATGTCACATTTGCTATGCTCTCATGTAATATCTCAGTACGTTTCCAATTGGAATGAAAGGCTAAAGGTCGTGTGATATCTCTTTTAATTCTCATTAGCTCGTTGTCCGCAAGAGTGACACATTGGTATTTCATCATGCAAAATAATTTTATTTCCTCCATCTCTTTCAGAATCCTGCGGTTAAATTAGGAATATGAGTCTCTTTCTTCTATGTGGTGTCAAATCAGCTAGGAAAGTGGTAGTGGTGATTTTTTACTCAATTTTCTTTTTCTGTATGCTGTCCCTTTCTAGAGAGCTGGATAAGGGGGACATATAAGCTATTTTTATTTATCAATGTTCCTGAGTGACTGATCTTTGGTAAATGCAGAGGCATTGATTATGCCATTGCAAATCAGGAGGTTCCAAATAATGCTCAAGATTTACCTCTACTGGTGAAGCAGGTTCTCTTTTATCATGACACCGATTTCATCATACTGCGATAACTTCATTCATCTGATTATGAGTTGTGTAGCATAAAGCTCTAAAGTTAAATCAGGAAAATAGGTGAAAGGGATGATGTCAATTGTGTTCTCAGTTGAATCTGTGGTATAGGGGTGGCAGCCCTGCATCATGTAAATAGGCTGAGCAAATATTAAATTTTCCTCTCCGTTGTCGTAGAGGCATATAGGCTGCTTAGAATATAGCAACTTCTTTTGGTGGACATGTTGTTGAACAGAAAAAACCTAGTAAGTGAAAGCAGAAGTTTTGAATGCCTACCTGAGCTTTCATATGTGGGAATTATTTTTTAACCTAAATTACCAGTGTCAAATTTTGAAACTACTTCTGAAACTGAGAAATCGGTCAGTTCTTCAGTAGCTGCTTCCTGATTATGATGGCGACTAACTTTCTTGAGCTTTGAGTGGTCTAATCCGTTGGCTTCCCTTGAAGTCTATACAAAGTTGGGTTTGTTTAACCTTTTAGAGTCTGTATGCCTTTTCAGTCATTCTCACCCATTAAGAAATTTCTTTGTCATGAAGTGCGATTTGCATATTTTAGATAAGTCCAAACTTTCCATGTATCTACGCTTCCAATTTACTGATAATTTAGAAAGATAACTATGTACTTTTACTGATAATTTAGAAAGATAACTATGTACTTGTTATGATTTATGATTCATCATAATCTATGCCTTTTATCCTTTCATTGCAGTAATTTGTTCTCCAACAAAACTTTAGTCTATAGCTACATTTGATCATAATTGGAAGCATTTCTCAGCATTCGTATAAGTGGAGAATTTAAGCTAATTTTAAATCTAGATATGAGATTGCCAATTTAATTTCCCCTGGATCCTGCTATCAATGATACTACAAGTAAGAGAAGTTGAGGATAAAAAATGGAGCTTTAGGAGCGCCTCAATTACTTTTGGGGATCTAACTTGTTAATGCTTGTTCTGATGTTAACTTATTGCGACTTTGTTGGAGTAACACTAACCTTTCCTTGAGCTCTATATTCAGCTCCACGGTGTCGGGGGAGGGGTGGTGGTGGTGGTTGTGTGTGTGTGTGTGGGTGGGGGG